GAGTAGAAATACTCCTAGCCGCTTCATGCTACAGAAACCGGGGTAAGTTCTGGCAGCTACGAGCCAGTCGGCTCCAAGGCTTCACTTTTAAATGTAGTTATTAGTACAGGTAATCAAAAGGTGACGAGTGAAATTAGGAAATAATTTCATGCGTATTTTATCAAAATTCTTATAGAGCGGTTTTCAATTGAGTGTCTAAAGTAATCATGCAATTACCTTGGTTTTCATTTTGGTTTGGGTTTTACAACACTCAATTGAAAACCACTCTAATTTCCCGATCTTTCAGGTGAGGGAAATTATGACAAATTTTGCAGGAATAAAATTTTGACAAAACGCAAGTGAAATTATTTCTTAATTTCAAGAGTATACCATTTGATTAGCTGTAATATCATAGTTGACAAATTACGCTCACAATCGTGAGTTTTTAGCTTGTTTTTGTAATGAGAAATTTCGCGCCAGATATTGCCGTAACAATTTTGTAATTTCACATGCGAAATTAATTAAAACTGAATTGAATTTGTTGAAAAAATAGATCGTGGCAAGTCTGACGCAGCGTTTCGTCTCGGGCAAGAGACTCTTCAGAGACCTTTCAGAATTTTACAGCAAACTCGTTGAGTATCGCGCGCAAAGTCCCGTTCGTGAATTCTAGATGTTAGTAGCCTAGCCTTCTATCGCAGCAAGATTCCCAACCGCACATACAAGAGTATCATGGCGGTAATGGCCAATTAAATCTGTCATCCATGAGATTGTGAATGAAATCCTTTAGTAAACATCGTATTTTCTGGCATTCAATTCTAATGTAATTAAAGCTAATACACTTAGGACAAGACAACTAACCTCCAGCTTCACTCTTATTGTACCAAAATCCATTGGAGTTTTTATAACTTTGAAGTATCCCGGAGCATCAACAGGGTCCACTGATAAACAAGAACAGAAATAACATGGCTATTTACCAGGCAATAAATGACTCTGATTTATTGATTGCTTGCAGTAGAAAATGACAGTGCTTTCCCGAATACTTCCTACCTACCGTCATTAAAACTTAACAATTACAATAATAATATATATAGTTTTCAGACAAAAGTCGATGCTCTCAATATTCTATTACCTGGTTTAAGGAACCAAGTAGCAGCACCAAAATCACCTTTTCGTCTTCCTTGACCGCGATAACTGGCAACTTTCTGCAGCAGGCTAACAAAATTCAAAATAAACAGTAATTCACGAATAGTTATCATATCGAAGAAAAATTGCATTTGGATGTTTATTATGTAATGATCAGAACACTTGAAGGTCGATAGGAATGTGACAAAAAACTCAGAGGAAGCGTGACAGTTTTGATGACATATAAAAGAGTCAAAAGTTTGAATAGTTAAGTTACTGCAGCAACTTTCTTTGCCTAGCATGTTGGTTCTTCCAGTTACCAGGAGTTTCATCAATGATTTAAGCGGGAGGACAACTGGTTTCCACAGGCGGGCAAGACTTTTTGAACCGAACTTCTTTATAAGAAAAACTTTCCGCTGGATGGTCAAACCAGAAGGGAAAATGATCTTCACAGCGGTCGATATGCCGGCCCTTAATGAAAGCCTCGCTGTAACATGAGGCAGAAAACAGTTTTTCTCCTTCCCTGGATGAAATGTCAGTCTAACAGAAATTACCTTCCCCACCTCACCTCGAACAGTTTGTCAGGTTGCTGTAATAGTTTGCCGTTACCCTTTTATAAACAACTACGTTGCGAGAACCATTGAGAGTGTCTTGTTCAAGAACACAACACCCATGGCCTGGGCTCAAACCCAGACCACTCAAACCGGAGTCCAGCGCACCAACCACGACGCCATCAGCTGACATCTCACTAATACCAGAGCCACCTTAAAGATAATGACGCACCTGAGAGCACCTCGGACCCAGCCACTGACTTGTCGTGGTGGTGACACATCAAGTGACGAAGGAGGCTTTCTTTTCCTTCCACTTGTCCTCACATTACCGAAGGCTTCAAGCGCTCTGATCTCTTTTTCCGTCAGTTCTGTGCATTCTGTTGCACTGTTGGAACTGCTTGTGGATGTGGACAAGACATCGATGGGTGTGTCACAGATGTCCCAGCTCTCATCTTCAAATCTTGATAGAATACCTGAAGATTGTTGACCTTCAATGACAGTCAGTTTATCAGTGTCTGTCGCACCAGCAACATGATCAGTCATTACCTTGCCTTTCATCTCTGAAGTCAGTACCTCAGGCAGGTCAGATCTCTCCTGGCTAGAGGACTGAATTGGTCCTAACAATACCGATGGCAACTCAAATGGCTCATTATCATTCGCAGCAAGTGTTGTTTCTTCAGACGTCCCTGCTGTACTCCCTTCCATGCTCTCCACAAAGCTCTCAATTATTTGCAGGGCATTTTCCACAGGTAACCCATCATCACTGCTAGCAATAACCACATTTGGATCATCTTGAGGAACTCCTTGCAGTGAAGACTGAAGATCTGAATCCATATCGACTTTATAAGTTTTATCTCTTTCATCCATGTGTAATGACTCCGAATAAATATGCTCAGGCGAATCATTCCTGACCATATCAGAAATTTCACTTGAAACATCCAATCTCTCAACGGTTACATTTTCGATAGATTCCTTAACCGATAAAAGATGCTTTTCAGATGTTTCTGTTTCACTTGTTGCATCTTTCTGCTTTTCTAAAGAATCTAAATCTGAGACAGATACTTCGACATCTTGTAATGATACAGGATCTAAAGCTGCTTCTACGGAATCTAGCAATGTTTGCGGAGTTTCATCTGTGCTATGCTCTACTGGATCCTTAACTGGTGTACTCTCGGCCATGCCTTTGAAAAAATCCATCGCCGATGGCGCTTCGATGATATTACAACCTGCACTGTCTATTGTTTCAGAGCACATGAGAAGAGAATCATCTTCAGATGATGTGTTATTATCGCATTCAGTCACACAGCTTTGTTCATTAAGTGTTGGCTGTCTAGAGCTTGACGCTGCAGGTAATTCGGAATGTTCTGCTAACGAATGAGCGTCAGTTAGATCTGCGCCATGAGTCTCGGCAACTACATGATCCCGATTAGTAGAATGCTGACTTGCACTTTGACTTTCTGAAGCTACAGGAGGAAACTGTTGCGCCACAACATCAGTAGTCAATGGTGGTAAGCTCGAAACAGCAGTATTCACAGCCAGCGCTACTGACGACTGCAGTGGTACTGAGGACTGTAGCTGTCCTGCAGCGTGCGAAACTACACCAGTTGCCACGGGAACCAAAACAGTTGGAAGAACTGTTGCGACACTTTTTGCTGGTGCAGGTAAGATAGTGGGAAGCTTCCTGACGCTCGTGGTATTGGAGACAGCAGTTGGTGGTACACTTGATGGTTTGGGAGGAGCAGGAAGAATGGCAGGGAGAGGTCTTGATCTGACCTGTGTGGTGACGGTTGGAGCTGACAGACTGGGTGTCATCTGTGTAGGAGTTGGTTTGGGACAGACAGTGGCTAAGGCTGAAGATGGCTTAGTGTCCTTTTTGGAAGTGAGCTGAGATTGAGAGACAGTGGGTGAAGTCAATGGAATTCCTGAAAAACAAGAATATCTGTAATGAATTTTTTCAGACAATTTCTACTACTTTTATACATTTTTTTTGTTTTTTTTTTTTTGACTTAGTTAGGTTAGACTAAATATTGTAACCATAAAGTTTTTGTAGGAGGCACGGTGGCTTCATGGTTAGTGTCCTTGTCTACAGATCAAGCAGTCGGGTTTCGAGCCCTGGCCTGAGGCATTTAACAGTGCCTCTCTCCACCCAGGTGTATAAATGGGTACCAGCAAACTCAATAACATAACATAAGACACTTCACTTAAACAGTGCCTCTCTCCACCCAGGTGTATAAATGGGTACCAGCAAACTCAATGCAGGGGGAACCTTGCTAGATATTACATTTGGACCTGTAAGACGCGCGAAACAACCCCTAAGATAAAAGGTTTTCCAAGCTTTCTATCCACTTCAGTCTTACAGAAAATAATCCCTAAACCCCCATAAATGGACTTTGTAACAAACTAGACAGAAGCCATGTGAGAACCTTTTTTATCCAAGTTTTTGATCTGCCAAACTTATTGTTGACTCAAATATTTCCTTCCTTTCGTTCAAGTATAAATATAATTTTAACTGTAAGTAACAGCAACAAGTACAGTATATCGCACCATTGTATTGCGGTCACTTTGCAGACTTTACCTTACTAATGAAGTTTTTATTCTTCTATTTTTATCTCATTATTTTGAAGCGTACTTGGAAACTAGTTCCTAGCTAAGTGTACTGACCGTGTTAAATAAAGGTTTGATTGATTCATAGTGAATGTTGAATGCTACAGAATGAGGATGCAAAACCTACCTGTTTTCTTGAGACTCTGAAATGTTTAATAGTTTTTGTTGTTAGGTCATAGTTTATGTTATAGAACCCCAGTATATATTATTATATGCAGGACCAGAAGTTATAGAGCAACGGAACTTATTTCCATAGAAACACTTACCTTGCGTTTTGGTGATCACCATCCCTTGGGGGGAGGAACATGTAGTTGGGGTAGAAATATTTGGACCAGCCTGTAAGGGTGCTGGCACAGAGAGAACTACTCTCTTAGTTCCACCCACAAGTGTTGTCATGACTACAGTTTTGGATGCTGATGATACTGGCTGAGTCGCTGTGTTGGAAACTTTGGCTTTTGTTGCAGTTTGAGATGTCAGTCCAGCAGTTGTAGAAACTGGAGCCTTGCTAACTGAAGTGTTTGGAGCCACCTGACAATAAAAACAAAATATTTTATAATTCTTAGTAACAACAGGCAGTTCAAAAACGTCAAATAATAGACATCTACAGCGCCTACAGTACCACACTGCTCAGAGATACGTGAACCATCAAACCCATTTTAAAATCGTTGACAAACAGAAGTCAGCATGTTGGTGCATTTTTGCCAATATATTTGGAAATTCGTTTTTCATCAACACATTTTGCCTTTGCTATTCATTTTGTCACAAATAAGATGTATCAAACAAAATGGAAACTCTTCTCACATGGGAGCAGAACACAAGGAAGTTCCCATTTCATTCAGTTGAATCTTATCAACATATAACCTCTCCTTAAAATACCAAGACACTGTACATTACAAACTAAAGGATACAGACACAAAAAGAAAGAAGATCATGAACTTCAAAGTCTCACAATGACTGAAACGAAAATACAGCAACAACAGAAGAATCTTTGTTTACAGTAGTTGCCTCATTAGCATAAGTGATACAGTTATTGAAAGGGCACAGCACAATTAACTGTCCCAACGAATTTGAGCCCGATGTGTTGAATACTTTTTATGCAACCCAGGTTTAAAAGCTCAAAATTTTACAAAGAATGTATGAGCTCATAAGCACTTTTACCACCCAGAAATTTTGCAGTTTTTGAAAGCCAATTTCTTATCCAATATCACAACCAGTGAGCCAAAAGCTCTGTTTATTACTAAGTTTCACAAGCTCTTTAACGTTTGTAGTCAATTCGGGTCTAGCGTGATGCCTTCTATGAGCAAAGTCTTATGTTAATGAGGAAAAATGTAAACAATGACGTCAGCAAAAATTCACCTATTGGCAAGGAGAATAATTTATTGATCTTATATGACAAGAACTGAAAATGACTCAGATTATACTGTACAAATCTAAAATGATACCATCTCACCTGAGAAGTCGACTTTGTCAAACTGGCTGGGCTGTTGATTCCTGGCACTATACCTGCAACAGTTGTTTTGCTGAGACCTGTTGTCATGACAACCACTGGCTTGCTTACGCCAACACCGCCAGTTCCTGGAACATGGATTACGCGAACAACAGGCTGAGTGCTTGAGACTGGTAAAGCTGAGGAGGCCTGGGAACTAGGACTGGGTGTTACCATAGTAACAGTAGAGCAGGTTCCCATGGTGGCGGGTGTGACAGATTTGAACTTTACAGTTCCAGGAAGAGGTTTAAATCTGGCCACTGCTGGTTTCACTTTATGTCTTGCTGCTAACTGAGCTGCAGTCAAACCAGATTTGAGGGCCACTCCAACAGGACTTGCAGTGGCTCCAAGGGTTGATGATCCTGTAGAGATATTCTTAGCAGTGGTTGACAATGGGGTCTTTGATGCCAACACAGCCTTAGGAGGGGCTCCAGAAGTGACTTTGGTTTGAGCCTTGGATGCAGATTGAGTCATTACTGTTTGAACTTTGGCAGGTGATGAAGTAACGGATGTCATAGTCTTGTAGCTTAGTACTGTCTTGGCCTGACAGACAGCCTGCGACACTGCTACTGTCTTGGTGAGTAGTTTCACTTGTGATGCCGAAGCGGAAAGAGGTGTTGCGCGTGGTATGGCTTTTATTGCCCCTGCTGGTCCTAGCGATTTGCCAGACTTAGTCATTGTACTAACTGACGTGGTCTGCTTTGTGAGAGGTTTTGAAACCAGTGTAGGGGTGGGGATAGTGACCTTTGTCACTGGCTTGTTAAGGCTTGACACACTCAGGCGTCTTTTCCGCTTTGGTTTGCCATCATCATCATAACCATCCACATCATTTCCTTGTGTCCCACCTATGTACAAAATATTCTACTCAATATTAAACCAATAGATTCCATGTTCCTCTGTGTCTGTTCAGTAATAGATCACAGATGATGTCGAAACGTGGTTAGAGCAAAACGGTTGCAGACAAGCCATTAGACAAGTGTGTCACTGGTGTTCTTACAACATTTTGACATCATCTGTGATCTACAACTGAAGAGATGCACAGCAACATGGAATTTCGTTGTTTTATATGACAAAGAAACAAATAAAAACAAATCATCTACATGTATGCATCTGTCCTCCAACAGATCATAAATAAGAACCAATCAAAACACAAGAATACATGAAATTGAACAGACATGTAAATTATTATATACACTGTAAAAGTATATATCTGCCACATTGTTTTGAGTTATTTCTCTGACACATTAAGCTTCTGGTACATGCAGCTTTTGATAAAAATAAAAATTGAGGTAAAATAAAATGTTAAACATTTGACTAGATAGAGAGTAAATCCCATAAATCCTAAATAATTATTACTGCATGTATATAATAAAGAAAGTTCAAAAGAACGCTAAAAGCACTAAAATTAATGTTTGTTTCAAAGAATGTTGTATTGTCTCAGGAGTGTGCTTGAGTTATTATCTGTCCCAACAGTTTTTGCCATGTGCCATAATTCCAGTGTCTTTTCCTTTGTCAATGATCGAGGAGCTGTCAAAGTCAATTACATAGTCAAAAGTCCATGCATGTTTAGCAACATTTGAGCCTTTAGCACATTGTTTTGTATTTCAAATACGTTCTTATAACTCATGCCCATTCCTAAGACAATACAACATTCTTTTAAACAAATATTAATTTTAGCACTTTTAGCATTCTTTTGAACATTCTTTATAGAGTGTGTTCACCTGACGTCATCAAATTCTCAAATCCAAAACTAAAAAGCCCCTAAAGATTTTATCCTCATCAGGCATAAGAGGTACTAAATTTATATCTGTTCACAACTTTCCAGCTCAATAGCATCCTTTGTTTGGAAACCAGCGCATTTTGAATTTCAGAGTTATGGTAGTGCGTGACATGAAGCTAAGATCACGTTTGTCGAAAAATATACACTTATCTTGTGGTTTTTAGACTTTTTTGGAGTTAAAGTATTAGGAAAAGTGCTTGTGTAAATGTTTTTTGGTTCAGCTCAGATAATCAGTTGTCTAGATGGCCAAAGTAAGTTCCAGATGTTTACACTATTTTCTGGCCTCCATATTGGAGGACTAAGGAGGTCCTCCGACATGGCGGCTCCATACTAGGCACTACAATAATATTTTGTGTGGAACAATTTGACGAATATATCAACTTTGGGACAATGCACACACCTTAAACTTGGAGAACTGTTTTCTCTATTTGTTGTCTATAATATCACAATTTCTTGACTTTATCCACTGAATGGTTTTTGATTTTGTTTTTTATTGCTTGACAATGCACACACCCTATATGTGCAGTAATTTTAAATTTATGCAATTTATATTCAAATTGTTAACATTTCATTTTATCACAATTTTTATCCATTGAAGACCATAGACTGGACATGGAAAGCTTATGTTCTTAATTACTTTTTACCAGAGAATGCTATATCCTATATTATCATGATCAATCCTGGTAACGGATCCACAATATTTTTACATTCCTTAAATGGGCTTTTTTAACAAATTGGTTCTCTTGTGATCATTTCATTGTGTTATTAATATTTTTCCCTTTGAATGCTCAATTCAGTCATCAAGTCCTACATGTACATGTACTTTCTCATAACTGCTCTTATTCAATCTGTGAAGAAACAGTGAAGAGAAGTAAGATTTTAATCAGTAGGGACTGTTTACCTGTCTGGGGCTGCTGTTTTACTGTTGATGCTTTGGAATTGTTCTGCTGACTGACTGAAGACAATGAATTTGACGAGGCATTTGAACTACTGGGACTACTAGCAGCTTTACTGCCTAAAAGATGAACATTTAAACATACATGTATCTTCAGCATGTCATTGTTATTATTCTCAAACTCATTTTATGCTCAAAATGTCAGAAAACACTGTTGTGGATCAGTGCACAAATGCATGCGTCTATCATTTCTGACAGTGATAGCAACAAGATCAAATGCCAAAATAACTTTTTTGACAAGTACCTGAAGAAACCGGAACCTTAGCATTTGCCGCAGCTGCAGAATTGGCGGCAGAAGTAGCTGAGGCACTGAATACTGTTTGTGGTACAAGACGAGGCATGAGTGGAACAAGCCTTCTTCCCTCAGCAGCCCATTCTGCACAGCTACCTGCACCATAAATACTGCAAATAAAGAATCAATTCAATCATGATGCACTCACAGGGAGGCTTTTTGTTGACAATAGGGACTTTAAGATATGTTACGGCGAGCTACTACTATGGCTACTTTGTTTGTAAGGGACTAGACTGACCGCCATTTTCTCCATAAAATTAAACAGATCAACATTTTGCTGTATGGCAACAGGGTGTGCAGCCTCTACGTGTCTTAAAAAAATGGCTTCGTTCAATGAAACCAGGGACTTTACGTTACTTTCATACAACATAGGCTGATTAATGACGAGGATTTCCTTCTCCTGTATCCGTCTTACATGCCAGAACTTAGATTTGCCTCTCAGCTGCTTTTAGAACTGCATGTAATTCCAACACAAAACAAAATAACACTGATAAAAAGCTTGATTTCAGCATGGGCGGGGTGCTTGTTCATCGCGATAAGCCCGCAAATACACGTACAAAGCTTTCGACTCTAATAAAATACAGTTTTAACAGCAATAAACAATTACAGTTCAGCTAAGTACATATGAAACTTTCTTATCTGCGGTTGTTTGGCCCGGCACAATTATGACTGTGGTTCACAGTAGATGTTTAAATCGTTCATATTTTCTCTACAAATGAAAAAGGAACTTTACAATTATTTTCGAACTGATTTTTATGATTGAGTACTTTTAGTTTATCTTCGAACTAGGCTGTTCAAACAGCAAGCTTATATTCACATAGTGAAGAGTATGTGAAACCAAGCACTCTCCCATAGTAGAAAGCAAGCCTATGGTGGGAGAGCTGTACTGGAACATGGGTCATGACGTCACCAGAAGTGGTCTTCACTATTTGCCGCCGTACTACAGCCTAGCCATAACATAACTTAAAGTACCTAATAAGCTACTAAAGGTTCATTTTAAAAGGCTCAAAAAATCACAGCAGTTTCTATTTCTTATAAGTGGGGCATAAGAATGAGCCATTTCTATTTAGAGTTAATACCATTGGTCCCAGACGTCTGTTGAAATGGCTTTCCTCAGGTTGTTACATGCACTACCGGTTTCATTCACGTGATTCAAAAAAAGTGATCATGTGATGATGAATTTCATGATCGTGTGATGAGTGAATCTCTGTCGTCGGGAAGTTGCTTCACAGTTTGTTTGCAAGTTTGTTGAGTTTCGCACTTTCTAGCAAGATACAATCCAAGATATGCCACAGCAAACAGTTGGACCGATGCAAAATCCATCGCATGGAGAAGATTTGCCTTGAACTCAATACTTTGGAGGAATTTGCAACAGATGTCCTGCAAACTGTGGCCATCCACGCCAAGAGATGTTTGTCATCACATGACCACCTATTTTGAATCACGTGGATGAAACCAACAGTGGGTGAAACGGCCTGAAAAAATGTATTTACCTTTCAGCCACAATAGCAAGCCTGTCATCACTGTATGCTCTTCGTACTTCTGCTCTATGACGTTCAGTTGATATGCTGTCAATTTCAAAAATCCACTCATAACCCATGTTGAATTCATAATAATAGATAAGTTCGTAAAATGTTATTTACAGTCATAATCTAAAAAAGCTCTCTTAAAAAGAAAAGGTTTTAATCGGTGATTTAAATCAGTCCACAGACTGTGGAACACTGTTTAATGATATTTGGTAAGTTTTTCCAGAACCTTGGTGCGATTACTAAGTGCGATTAATCTGTTGCCATAATAATATTACTTTTACCATGTACATACAATCACCACCAACATTACTGTCAGTTAATACCTGAGCTGAGTTCCTAAATCCTGCAAAATCTTCTTTTTGGCACTGCAAAAAGGTAGTCAAGACAAATCAACATTACACATGTACTAAGTATGAATTACATTAATGGTATGACATCTACATCTAATTCCAAACATTACAAACTCACCGACTTAACTCTCCTTGGGCTCGGAAAGCACTGATAATGGATGAATATGCTTCCAGCTCTGAAAATAAACAATAAAATTTCACTCAATCAAAATGTTCTCATCACTATCATTCTTGTTTTTTTGCAGGTACACATTTTATCATTTTAAGAAATTACACTCGTCTGACATTCTCCCTTTAGTTTCTTGCTACATTAAGTTGATGATTTACAGTATTTTAGTCCCTTTTATTGATATAATTGATATTAAATATACAAGGAAACAAAACATTTCAGCAAGAAAACTAATGAAAGTATTTAGCAACATGAAGTTTTGATGACTTCATGTCATCATTGCCAAATGAATAAATTAAAAATGACGGCAATTAGGGCTGTGCTCTAGAAGCACCTGGTTGCCACAGGTGGCTAACTTTTTGCCTTTGGGTGACTGGAAAAACTTACGGTACTTTTTTCATACCAGCTAAAGTTCTTGGCACCCAGGATTTCATGGTTAGGAACCTTTGGGCTCCTTGTAATTTTCCTCAGACCCCAGTCTTGGGCAAGGCATATTTCCTCACATCCTAATTCCTATAAATATGCCTCAAGTGCCGTTATTTTTAATTTATTTATTTGATGATGATGACATAAAGTTGTCGAAATGTCTTGTTGCTTTACACTTACTTTCATTAATTTCCTTCTTTACATGCTTTTCGAAATCGCTTTTACTCGGGCTTCTGTAGGAAAGTCCAAGTCATAAAATGCAAGCCATTCTTGGTCACCAAAAGGGTGGGTCATGGTCCCAGACATTCTCAGACTGTGAAAACTAGGTACAAGAACCCAACATCTTTCTGTATTGTTTGCTTACTCTTTGCGAACGACATATTATAGAATGCAGTGTTTTGTGAAGAAAGTTTTGGCAAGAATCATGCCTTATACATTCGTCTCCCATACAAAGATGTTAATCATTTTCAGAATAGGTCGGTCCACGAATTTTATTGCTTGTAAGCCTGCCAAGTAAGCAAAGTTCATGCTTGACTCATTCTCACGAGATAAAAAATAAGCCATATACGAGTTCGAACTACGAAGACACTGACAAAAAACTATCATTACTGACTTAAAAACAAACTATGATGCTGAGATGTGTACCTCAGATGTTGAAAAAAGCCAAGATGAAGATGTGGCAAACACCATGCAATCGGATAAAGAGGACACTCAATGAAGCAACTTGAATTATTATAGTAAATATCTAAGAGACCTTACGGCAACTCTTGGGATAAAATATCCTGATTCTTTTATTTGTTTTTAATGTGTTCAATAAGCTTACTCCTAAAGTAAGATTTGATACTGCGGTACAAAACCCGAGTAAACATTCTTAGAGCGCCTAGTTATCAAATAAGACATTGCTCTCTAAATGGTAACTAAAGCTTTAACTTACCCAACCTCCTAAGAATTCTTTTTGCTTCATCTCTGGTAACATCCATCATTTCTGCACACATTTTGACCTAATTAATTTTGATCTTCCCTTTAAAAGGTTGACAAAAACAAGCATGAAATTTTAATAATCAAATTATTGATATGTATACTTGCAGGAACTTGATTTATGAACTGTTATGGATGACAAATGCACAGTCAATTCCAAATTGCAATGTTCAAACGTCCTTTCAGCCTCCTTTTAGAGAATGCCTTGTATCTTAAAGACCCAGTATTGACTATTATGCTTTTTTGCATGTCTGTTACATGCATTTCTTTGGTTAACATGAGAGCAAGGTTTTTATTGTTTTTCCAATGCAGCACCACGCAACACGCATCCTGGCCAAAACTGGGTCTTTAATTGTTCATCAAAAAAACAAGGAAAAGTCAATTTTACATCACATGATTTAAATCTTTCACAATAAACAAATTTTTCCTTTAGCAGCTGCTTTTCCCAAATAGTCTTGAGCAAGATGGCTTTTGCCGCTTTTACGGTTTTTCATGTGATGTCTGTAATTACTAATGCTAATGTTAGTAGGATAGTTTTAATGAAAGTTATGTGTTTGTAAAGTTTTTTCTGTGCAAAAGCAACAAAAATGTGAAAAATAATAATAATTAAAAAGATGTGATGTTTGAGACATGCTATTTGATGAGACTAAACTAGAATTTCATCAAATAGCATTTTTGAGATTATTTCACAACTGAAAACCATTTCTGTGGATCTCTACATGTGTATGCGCAATTTTTCACACAGTTACTAACTTAATTACTTACATATAATATGTACTGTACAAGTACTTCTAACCAATTTGGTGATTTTGTTGGGGGGGCCCTGGATTCTTTTACAGATTATCCCTTGGCCTTTTATGAATATTTTTGTTATTATTTTGTGTTCACATGTAATTAATTTTCGCGCCATTAATTGTAATAAGGCTTTCTACGTTGTTCGTCTAACTCTAGCTACACTTCAGTTTATTATAAACACATGAAAAAATCTTTCATTTAGATGGCATATCCAACTGATTTCCGAAATTCTTACACTAGCATTATTTTCCAAGAATTGCAGAATATTAAATTGGGTGAACAGGACAAATAAACCGAGAAGGACTTTCCGTACGTGATAACTTGAGATTTTAACTTCACTACTTCTTCTTCTCCGGGAGGAAATCAAGTTGTAGAACGATTCACTCTAAAAATCATGATGAAACACTTCTAGGCGAAAAGAGGAAACATCGTCAATTTATTATAAAATCCGAGGGATTAGGCGAAAAGTTATGATCCTACCTTGAAATAAGGCGTTGCTTTCATCGACAATCGCCAAACGTAGACCGTCCGCCATATTGATTTGTCATATACTAATACGCATGCGTGATTGCTGTTGACAACGTCAGCCTACTCGCGGGCTCAGCATCGAAAGCAAGGAGCTGTCAAGTTTGTCGTCAGGTTGGAAGAGGGAAGAAGGGAGGAAGCATCGCCACAAATTTGGCGGTTCTATGAACTGCGATCTAACTAAGCGCAGTACTCGAGGTGAGATGACTAGTTAGAAGTGTTTCTACACATACGGTGTTTCCCTGCAAAGGTCATTGTCCTTACATGATTATTTTACAGTGTGTAGCTTCTCGTGCAAGGAATTGTTCAAATTTCTCTGACATGTCCTAGAGGTTTTGAAGGCGGGTTCACGAAACCTTGAAAATTTTTTACAAAGGGCCTCTCATTAAGCTTATTTTCGGGTTATTTATAATGCAAGGGAATAGAGTTTGCAGTCAAAATCAGGATCAACAATTCATTGCTTTTTGATTTAAATTTTGTGAGCAAGAATACAGATCATCTCATCTAGTCAACATATCTGGATTTCTCGAAGGCGTACATGTATGTGCAGACAGATATAAAGTTTATGCATGCACTCCCAAGGTGTTCTATATTGAGTCTGCGGTTCCGTTCTTGAAATCGTGAGATAAAAATACCCCACGTTTTCAGGCAACTTGCATCAGTCAGTTAATTTTGCTATTCGCTAAGTAAAAATTCAATTTCTTCGTATTCAATTTACCGGGCCTACGTTTACGATAAATTATGCATGCATCCAGTGATTTGTGTAAATCAAGGCTTTTTTGTTTGGATTCCTGGGTGAATAGGTGGTAGCCACAAATATGTAACTAATAACTATAACTAATGTTTTTTTTTCCTCCGAGAGGGTAAGATAAGTTAGTTCTTGTACACTTAAAGTTTTTAAGATGTAAACAATGTAACAATTTAAGTTGCAGACTATGAACCACTACAGAAACTTGACTTTGTTGCGTTAAAAACTGTGAAAATTCAATCAAATCCAAATTGCTTCATTTAATTAGTTGGGCAAATATGTGAAGTAGTGTTTGAGTTATTTGTGTAGGTCACCTCATATGTTATGTATCAGAGCATTTTATAAAGATTTATGAATTATAATGTAGGGAAGTCAACATTTGAAAAGAGCTTTAAAAATACTGCAATGTAGAGAGTGAGATTTTGCAACAGGTANCAGAGCATTTTATAAAGATTTATGAATTATAATGTAGGGAAGTCAACATTTGAAAAGAGCTTTAAAAATACTGCAATGTAGAGAGTGAGATTTTGCAACAGGTACTGAATCGATAGTATTAACTTGTTTTTGAATTTCATTTATCTCTACCTCATCCTCTCTGCATAGCAGTAACATCATTTTAGGATAAACCTGGCACTATCCATGTTCACTTAATTTTTTCACTAGTTCAGTCTATATATCATGGACTATATGCACTTGTAGGTCCTAGGGGACAAAGAATTCGTTTTACGTGTTCATGGTACTTGAAAATCATATTTCACTGTTAGAGTGTTCTCTTTTCATGAGGGCATTTGTTTTCTGGTTATGTTGTTTTTGTATAGGCTGTCAATGCCCCACAATTAGTTTTGATTTATTTGAAGGAACTTAATATTGTAATTTAACCTTGCTAAAAGCAAGGTTTTTTCTTAAATATGGGTTCGATATGATGCATGTCAGTAATTACTCTACAAAATGTGGAAAACAAAATTTTGCAGAAGAATAATTTTTGCAATACCTTAATATCAGAGAGTACAGCGTAACAATAAGATATATTTTTCAGGTTGTACACATGAGATTGAGTGGTCATTACACATTCATGTGATACATTATGGGGAATTCATCTTCTTCCTCATCATCGTCCACTCCTAAGCATGCCTGTCAAGTGGTGATAGTAGGTGGCGGTTATGGTGGCATCCAACTCGCTGTACAACTTGACAGCTACTGCAAAGTCATTCTCATCGACCCTAAGGATGCTTTCCATCACAATGTGGGAGCTCTCCGAGCTATTGTTGAGCCGGCATTTATCAAAAAGACTCTAATTCCTTATGAGGAGACACTCAAGCATGGCTCATTTGTGAAGGATCGAGTGGTGAGTTGCAATATTTCCAGAAAGACGGTGACACTTGCTGGTGGTGAAGAAATCAGCTATGACTATCTTGTGTTTGCTTGCGGTTCATCCGTACCATTTCCAGGTAAGCTACATTGTAGCAAGTGGTCACATACAACTGTACACATTGTAATTGTGTCTCCAATTAGCTGCTGATTTGCCAAAACACTAAATAACTGTAATATTTTGGATAGATAAATTGAGATTGATTGATTTTTTTTAAAGGAATCAGCTGTGTAGTGTATATTCAGTGTTGTCACAGGTCAGGAAATGGCCAGGGAAAAAAGAAATTAATCGTTAAGGTCGGGGAAAAGTCAGGAAATAAATCATTTTAAGTCAAGGAAAATAGACATTTTGAAGAAAAGTCAGGGAAAATGGAAATAATTTAGCATGGCTGATTTAATACGGTTGAAGGGTGGAAGAAACATTTGAGGTCACCGTGAACTCAACGATATTTTTACGTAATGAAAACGGAAAATCTGTTGATTACTTATCAGTCTTTATGAATGAGTGGAATAGTCTCCTCCGCAGCCATTATTAGGGTAGTCACGCAATGCTACTCCCCCACTAACGGCTACTTAAACTGGAACCCCATTTGTTTCCGCGGATTAGCCAATCACAACATATTCCCTCCATATTCCTGAGGCAGTCGCGTGAAGACTAATTGTCCAATCACAACTCATGTTCTATCGGCTACTGATGGTGAAACCAACATGGCGTCGCTCAAAGAAGCCTTTATTTTGGTGTCTTCCAAGTTCAAAATCCCCACTTTAAATCATCATCAGAAGTTGGCAATTGAAAAAATAGTTTCAAATAGGAAAGCTGTTTTTGTGACCCTGCCTACAGGCTTTGGCAAATCTCTTATTTATCAAGCTC